AATTTGAATTTTAATTTCCATTTTAACCCATTTAACCGAATTCCAGAGGGTATTTAAGGGGATTTTGGGGGGATTTTGGGGCTGGGGGGATTTTGGGGGGTGTGTCCCTCCCCCAGGGACATTTTGGGGACCCCCCCCTGTCCCCCCCCAGCGCGAGGAGGACGCGGCTCTGCTGGGCCCCCTGCAGCTCTTCCCCCCCAACGGCTCCATCGACCTCATGTACTTCCCCTACTACGGGAAACGAGTGCACGTGAGCCCAGCGCCCCAAAACCCCCCCGGGACCCCCAAAAATATCCATGGGAACCCCAAAATATCCATGGGAACACCAAAATATCCATGGGAACCCAAAATATCCATGGGAATCCAAAATTCCCCCCCGGGACCCCCAAAAATATCCATGGGAACCCCAAAATATCCATGGGAACCCCCAAAAAATCCATGGGAACCCCAAAATATCCATGGGAACCCCAAAATATCCATGAGAACCCCAAAATATCCATGGGAATCCAAAATTCCCCCCCGGGACCCCCAAAAATATCCATGGGAACCCCAAAAATCCATGGGAACCCCAGAAAATCCATGGGAACCCAAAAAATATCCATGGGAACCCCAAAATATCCATGGGAACCCAAAAAATATCCATGGGAATCCAAAAATATCCATGGGAACCTCAAAAATATCCATGGGAATCCAAAAATCCATGGGAACACCAAAAAATATCCATGGGAACCCAAAATTCCCCCCCGGGACCCCCAAAAATATCCATGGGAACCCCAAAAATATCCATGGGAATCCCCAAAAATATCCATGGGACCCCCCAAAAATCCATGGGAACACAAAAAAATCCATGGGAATCCAAAATTCCCCCCTGGGACCCCAAAAAAATCCATGGGAACCCCAAAAAATCCATGGGAATCAAAAAAAATCCATGGGAATCCAAAAATATCCATGGGAACACCAAAAAATCCATGGGAATCCCCCAAAAATTCATGGGAATACAAAAAATCCCCTGGGAATCCAAAAAAATCCATGGGAATCCCCCAAAAAATCCATGGGGATGCAAAAACCCCCCCGGGACCCCCAAAAATATCCATGGGAATACAAAAATATCCATGGGACCCCAAAAAAATCCATGGGAATCCCAAAAAAATCCATGGGAATCCCCAAAAAATCCNAAAATATCCATGGGAACCTCAAAATATCCATGGGAACCCAAAATATCCATGGGAACCCAAAATATCCATGGGAATCCCAAAATATCCATGGGAACACCAAAATATCCATGGGAACCCCAAAAAATCCATGGGAACCCAAAATATCCATGGGAATCCAAAAATATCCATGGGAACCCCAAAAAATCCATGGGAATCAAAAAAATCCATGGGAACCCCAAAAATATCCATGGGAATCCAAAAATATCCATGGGAATCCAAAAATATCCATGGGAACCCCAAAATATCCATGGGAACCCAAAATATCCATGGGAATCCCCAAAAATATCCATGGGAATCCCAAAATATCCATGGGAACCCCCAAAAAATCCATGGGAAATCCAAAAATATCCATGGGAACCCCCAAAATATCCATGGGAACACCAAAAATATCCATGGGAATCCCAAAATATCCATGGGAATCCAAAATATCCATGGGAACCCAAAAATATCCATGGGAACCCCCAAAAAATCCATGGGAACCCCAAAAATATCCATGGGAATCAAAAAAAATATCCATGGGACCCCCCAAAAATATCCATGGGAATCCCAAAATATCCATGGGAATCCAAAATTCCCCCCCGGGACCCCCCAAAAATATCCATGGGAATCCCAAATATCCATGGGAACCCCCAAAATATCCATGGGAACCCAAAAATATCCATGGGAACACCAAAAATATCCATGGGAACCCCAAAATATCCATGGGAACCCCAAAAATATCCATGGGAATCCCCGAAAAATATCCATGGGAATAAAAAAAAATCCATGGGAATCCAAAAATATCCATGGGAATCCAAAATTCCCCCCCGGGACCCCCAAAAATATCCATGGGAATCCCCAAAATATCCATGGGAATCCAAAAAATCCATGGGAACCCCAAAATATCCATGGGAACCCCAAAATATCCATGGGAACCCCAAAAATATCCATGGGAATCCAAAAATATCCATGGGAATCCAAAATTCCCCCCCGGGACCCCCGAAAAATCCATGGGAACCCCAAAATATCCATGGGAACCCCCAAAAAATCCATGGGAAATCCAAAAATATCCATGGGAACCCCCAAATATCCATGGGAACCCCAAAAATATCCATGGGAATCAAAAAAAATATCTATGGGACCCCCCAAAAATATCCATGGGAATCCCCAAAAAATATCCATGGGAATCCCAAAAAATCCATGGGAACCCCAAAATATCCATGGGAATCCCAAAAATATCCATGGGAACCCCAAAATATCCATGGGAATCCAAAAATATCCATGGGACCCCCCAAAAATCCATGGGAACCCCAAAAAATATCCATGGGAACCCCCAAAAATCCATGGGAACCTCAAAAATATACATGGGAACCCCAAAATATCCATGGGAATCCAAAATTCCCCCCCGGGACCCCAAAAAAATCCATGGGACCCCCAAAAAATCCATGGGAATAAAAAAAAATCCATGGGAATCCAAAAAAATCCATGGGAACCCCAAAAAAATCCATGGGAACCCCAAAAAAATCCATGGGAATCCCCAAAAAATCCCTGGGAACCCAAAAATTCCATGGGAATCCAAAAAAATCCATGGGAACCCCCAAAAATTATTGGGAATCAAAAAATATCTATGGGAACCAAAAAAAAAAATCCCCTGGGAACCCCAAAAATATCCATGGGAACCCAAAAAAATTCATGGGAATCCCCAAAAAATTCATGGGAATCCCCCAAAAATCCCTGGGAACCCCAAAAA